CTGGGATTCTTTCCTGCCCAGGGTAGAACAAGAGCTAAAAAAAAGAGAACTACTCAGAGTCCAAAAGAGCTATAGCTAAAGAGAATCATAGGGTAGGTGAGCTCCCCATTGGGCTTCTGTTCATACTACCTCAAGGGTCTCAGTGATCATACTCCAACCCATACTTATTTGTAGCCTGAGTGTAGCTTTTTCCTTTCCAACAGTAGATAGAAAGTGTCCTGTGAGAGATYAGGGAGGATGCAGGGCCATGAGGTTCTAGAGGAATCCCCTGGTTCTAAACCAGTGACATTTCCAGGACTATGACTGCAGACCCAGGGAAGGATCAGGAAGCATGAGGAAATGACCTGGTACTGCTGGGAATCAGGTTCATATGGACATGATCATTAGGGTAAAAAGTTTCATGTTTTTCACCTGTGCTTTTTAAGAAAGTTTCGACACACAGGGCCTCACTCTGGGTACACATGCATGTAATACGTAATACAGTAATACGGCAAAAGACTGGAAAACACCTGCCTGTTGCTTGAAACCCATAGGGGGACGAAAAAGAATTCAGACTTCACCTCATTTTTGTCAGCCAGTTCCACTTCACACTAGCAAATCCAACTCCAAAGAGTAGGAGGCCAGGAAGAATTCCAATCATGGAGAAGGTGTGATGACGAGATAGCTCTGGGAAGGAAAAAGAGGGAAGATGAGATGCTGTAACCACCAGCTCTCAGCCCTGAGAATGGCTCCTGCTTTCTTGGCAGGAGGCTTTATGCCCTCATACCCTACTTACCCCATCTCAGGATGAGAGGCTCAGGCAGCCCCTCATGATGCACATGGCATGTGTACTTATGCTCCTCCCCAGCAGGCACCACCATAGCAGCCCACTTCTGGAAGGTTCCATCCCCTGCAGGCCTGGTCTCCACAAGCTCCATGTTCTGAATCTGGTCCTCCCCATCCCTCTGCCAGGTCAGGGTGATCTCCTTAGGGTAGAAGCCCAAGGCCCAGCACCTCAGGSTGACATCTCCTTCAGSGCTTAAGTGACGGGTYACATGTGTCTTTGGAGACTCTGAAGGGAAGAATTAGAAAAATAAGACATTTKGGGGCTGGGGCTGTAGCTCACTGGTAGAGTGCTTGCCTARMACATGKGATGCACTGGGTTCGATCCTCAGCACCACATAAAAATAAATAAATAAATATTAAAAAAATAGAAGAGTAGCTGGCAAAGATTTTGTCCCATTCTGTAGGCTCTCTCTTCACACTCCTGTTTCATTTGTTATACAAATCCTTTTAATTTGATTCTATTCCTATTTTTGATTCTTGGTTTCATTTCTTGTGCTTTAGGAATCCTAGTAAAGAAGTCAGTACCCACGCAAATGTGTTGGAGTGTTGCTGTCTTCTGGCAAGTTTCAAATGTTTCTACTCTAATTCCTTTGATCCATGGTGAGTTGATTTTTGTGCAGAGTGAAAGATAGCAATCTGGTTTCATTCTTCTATACGTGGCTTTCCATATTTTGCCAGCACTATTTGTTACAGAGGCTATCTGTTCTCCAATTAATGCTTGGAAAGCAATATGGAGATTCCTCCAAAGACTAGGAATGAATGGAACCACTTATATGACCCAGTTATCCCACTCTTTGGTCTTTATCCAAAAGAACCAAAATCAACATACTACAGTGGTACCTGTATACCAATGTTTATAGCAGCATGATTCACAATAGCCAAGTTATAGAACCAGCCTAAGWACCCATCAGTAGAGAAATGGATAAAGAAAATGTGATGTATATACACAATGAGTTCCACTCAGCCATAAAGAACAATGAAATGATGTCATTTCCTGGTAAATTGGTGGAACTGAAGATCATCATGCCAAGTGAAATAAGCCAGACTCAGAAAGTCAAGGACTCAGACTTAGAAAGTCAAAGTAAATGTTTTTTCTCATATGCACAATCTAGAGAGGGGAAAAAAATCTAGTGGGGGAGATCTCACAAAAATACAAAAGAGCAATAGAGTAAAACAAGGGATCAAGTAGAGGAATCTGGGGAGGGAAAGGGAAAAAATTGGGGAATAAAGTTAACAAATTATGCTATGCTCATGTATGAATATATCACAATGTGTTGCAATTATATATATATATATATATATATATAGTGCACCAATTAAAAAACAAATAAACAGAAGTAAAACCAATAGAGTAGAAAGAAAGGATCAGTGGAGAGGGAGGATGGGAGAGAAGGAGATAGAAATGGAGAAAATTGCATTAGATGCAGTTATGAATATGTCAAAATGAATCCCACTATTATGCACAAATAAATGCACTAAAATCAAAAAATAAAATTAAAAATCAATAAAAAGAATTTGAAAAAATAAATTTATGCTCAGGTTCTTATTTTTACTACAGAAGTTAAGAAGCTGTAGCTCAGGGCACCATGACGTGGAGACAGGGATGGAGACAACCTAGCCCTGCCTTTGCTGAAGAAGAAGGTTGATTGTGAAAGGGAACACAGTTCAGTGTGGTAAAAGGAATCCTGGTGGGAAGGAGTGTGCTGGTCTCCCCACCTCCTCACATTATGCCAGTAGGAATGTGGGCATATTTAGATACCTCTGCAGAAAGAGATCCAAGGTTCTTCAAGTCACAAAGAGGAGGCCTGAACAAGTCTTATGTCGCTCAATCCCACACAGGCAGCTGTCTCATGCTACAGAACAAAAGAATCAGGCACAAATTCAAGGCAGT